CCGAATGATAGCTAGCTATAGGTGAGTAGCTGTTCCTAGTAGTCAACGGATTTTGGATGAAGCTTTTGTTTTTGAATAGTAGATCACATCATCAGGATGTGGTCTTAAATGTATGTTTCTGGAAGTCCCGTCGTCTGTTTTGTGACAATCGGGACGGAAATTGTATGTTTTCATATTTCTGATGGGAAAGAAGAGTGAGAGGAAACAGCTGACTATGTTTGGTAGCAAAGAATACTTCGTATTAAATATTTAACATAATAGGAGCTGAGTAGCAGTTTTGAAATAAACGTGAAAAGAAAGAATGAAGTATCTAATTTATTTATTTTTCTTATTATTTGTTTATTCAAAATTTTCTAGCACAAGTATGTGATTGACACGCTAAGCATATGCAGCAATGAGTAATAAAAAATTGATTTGCCGGAGCCATTAATGGTTTGTGTACCTATATGAAGAATAGAAAATCAAATTTATCAACTCGTGACAAACACAACTTTCTGAAAATGGTTGAATTGTTAGTCAATAAACGATTGTATACCTCAGGCTGGTTTTAAAAGATTTAATTAAAAGTTCTTTTCATTCTGTATATGAACTAATTTTGTCGACCCAAATGAAAAAAGAAGGGTGTGGGTGTGGATTTTATGTTCACGCACACCCACATCCACACCCTTCTTCTATCTAAAATCGTCACACTGAGTGCCATAGTACTGATATAAATATGAGGTGGATCGGAGCATGTTTAGTTAAGTTATCGAATATATCAGTACAGTAGTACAGCAAAATTAGTGATAATAATAATCGTATATCTATGCTTAGGAAGCCTGGAAAACCAAACATTTGTAGGGTATTTAATAACTCACTAAGGTCTATCGTTTGAGCATATACTCAATCAAAAAGTGATTTGATAGTTGCGGACGTTCCCTTGTGAGCGAAGTATAAGGACGGATAGACCGACATTGTGCCAAGAAGGCGTTCGATCCATTTGAACGATCTTGAGAATATGCTTGAATGGACAAAGAAGAAGAATCAGACCATTGACCAAATCAATATTGATATTAAATTGTTTCTTTTTGTCAATGAGAATTTTCTTGATGCCGTGAAACGAACAATTGATCGGTTTCAGTAGATCAAATGAATAGAAGAAATTTTAAAAAGCTTTATCCTCTTCAACGGCAAAGCATCGAATTATATTTTTCGATAATCGAGTCATCTGTCATATTTATTCGAACCCAAGAGTTGCTGCAGTTTCGAACAATTATTGTTAGCGTGGTCGCCTTCAGCAGCAACAATATTGAGAGAAATCTTTGCATTGAATGTCAAAAAAGTATTCTTTCAAAAAAATGCAAGACAAAATATTTTTAGAAGCCTGTAAACATTGTTAGCTTCGCGAGAAATTATTTCTAGTCTTGTACGAATTAATGAATTTTTCCTGAAGTCCAAATTTGGAATGAAAATCTCTTGATCTGCACCCGTGCTTTTGAGGAAAAATTCTGTCCTTGGACACCCTGCTTGTCCGTCTTCGCAGCGGCCCTGATTGACCATACTTGTTGCACCATACTGTGCTTTGCGTGAGTATTCGGGATGACCAACGATGTCATAATAGTGGCGTACAAGTGATTATCTCTCAATCAGAAACATCGGGTGTACTGTCAGTCGTGATCGAAAAAAGGGGGTTGACTCATTCCCAAGAACAGAAGAAATACAAAACTGCCTTTCAATGGAAGGTTTCAGTTGAAAAATTTCAAAACACTGACATAATTCAAGAAATGACTGCATTTAAATTCATGTGTACTGACACTTGCATGGAATTGCATTCATTGCGTGCTACCAATTTAAATGCATTGAATATTAGATTCATATAAATCATAGAACATAACATATATTCGAAAAGGTCTTTAACCCTTGGGGGACGGGTTTTTTTTTCTGTATATTTCATCATAAATCAATCAACATTTCTATATTCTAAAAGAAGTTATTATTCATTACTGGACATCTGATTAAAATAACCTAATTACAATCCAAATTATACCAAAAAACTCTCTGATAAATGCTTTCACGAAAACTAATCTCATATAGGAATCTGTGTGTTTTGAAATGCTAGAGAATCACCATGGCCCCTTAGGGGGCCAACCGTCCCTAAAGGGTTAAACTCATTTAATTTGCATGCATTTAAACCGATGCAAAATTAAATGAATTTCAATGCATAGAAAATTAAATTGATATAAATGATAGAAAATTCTCTGTAAATTCGATTAAATGCATTTAATTTTAAATTCATATAAATCAATATCAGTGTTAAACGAATTTAGTTCCATTTATTTGAATTAGTGAAATACATGCATTTAAAGGGGTACCACTAAGAAATGTATTAAATCATTGTATATAAATGCAAAATTGCTTTCGAAATTCCTTTGAACGGTATACAAATTTGCCCTGGTCAATGCGCGACAATTTTTTTTCAAATTGATGCCACCGTTTCTCTTCACGTTGACGCTCTCGTTCCATTTTACATTGGAGCTTCCGTTTCATTTCACGTTGGCGCTTCTGTTCCTGTTCACGTTTCTTCTCCCGTTCCTTATGCCGTTCGTATAGGTACAGGTAGCGAAATTTTGTTTTTTCGTTGGAAAACCTCATTCCTTCCCATCGCCAGTGGTTAGTTTGAAAACCGTGCTGTTCGATTTTTTTAGACCATATCAGATTGCGGAGATCGTCTGAATCGAGTAGTTTATTTAGATACTTTGATACCTGTGAAAGACGGATCAGATCACAGCCGTTGAGATGAGGAAATATGTGGTAGGCGAGTATTTCAGGAGGAAGATCGTGGAGAAGACACGTTGTATGACTATCTTGATTTTTTCTTTGTGATAGTGTTAGTCGACAACTCTTTATGCACGACGATAGTGTTGAGCCCATTGTTTTATCTAAAAGTAGATAGAAAAAAAAGATAAATACAATTTTGTAATAGTTATATGTGATTACATGTTCTAAGTGAGTGACATTTCAGATAGTACGACAAAACAGTTTGATTATGGAGTGCTCTATTTTTTCTGCATCATGATTTATACAGTTGCACTAGAAACCATAGAATAGTGTCATAGAATAAGATAGAAACGCAACTTGTAATAGCCTCTAGAATGACTCACTCATAATAAGAACTCTTACCATGTTGTTCCTGATTATAAGTAAGCTGTGCTCTCTGGATGAAAACAATGATTTTGGGTGAAATATATCTCTTGATCAAGCTATACAAAGAAAAAAAGAAATCGTGTAATAGTTCTTTGTTTTGCTGAGTACCAGAATGTAGAAGAGAAAAATGTCATCGATCAGAGTAACGACATTTATCTCAATGTTGCCATGAATTTGTTTTTGTTGTCTTTTCATTACTTGCCAAATGAGAGTTTGGTAAGTTAAGCTTTGTTTTCTTAATAACGAATACAATTACATATATTATATCGTATCAAATGATAGCACTGTGTATCTCGTTTAGGGGCGACACTTTTCCTTTTCTTTTTTTTCAGAAAGGAAGGGAACGAAATGTCGTGTTTTTGCTTTCTTTTCTCAAAAAAAGTTATTGCTTTTTACTTTTTCTTTTGGAAAAAGAAAGGAAGAGAAAGTTGAAATATTTCAATGTTGGAATGTTTACAGAATTTGTGGTATCAAGGATGGGTGGGGTGTGAGTGTGTCTGAAGAAAAGAATAATATCCGGACCCACACTCACACTCTCTTGAATAAGAGAGGGGGCTAAATTTATTGTCGTATTGTAACATTTGTGTAATTTTTTCTGCCACTATTAGAAGAAAGAGAACATTATGTTGAATCGACGAGAATTAACTGTAGAAGAAAAAATTGTAGTAATCAAAGATAATCAGAATGGGCACGGTTTGTCAGTTGGAAAACTGGTCGACAAATACAATATATCAAAAAGTAGTTTGGCCAAAATTTTATGAAAATATCGACATTGATTCTTCTATTCCAGTTTTTAATGAATTAGATGATGATGAATCTGTTTCTGTAACGGAAAAGCCATCAAACTTGTCTGAAGTCATAGAGATGATGAGAAAGCTTAATCTTTTTGCTTCTACTTAAAAGCTTCAGCTACATAATCTCATCTCTTATCTTGGATTGCAATTAACTGACATTTATTTGTAGTCAAAAACAACGAAACAAAGTTCTATCAAAGATTATTTTCACAATTATTGATTTTTTTATTTTCAAAAATAAAAAACAAAAAACAGATTAGAAAATAAAAAAATATGTTGTTTTTTTTTAAGTGATAGATTTCGAATTCCATCTTTTAATCAAAATGATTTGCCTCTATTAACACAAGTGATATATTTGAATTTAATCGTTATTGTTATATGTGATAGTCGTTCAATTTCTCACATTTTACGTTGTATACCTAATGTGAAATATTTTTATTTTACTCTTGGGATACGAACTACAAGTTGACCATTGGTAGATAAACTACTTGATGGTTATGTATGACAAGATATCATAGAACATTATGTTCCACATTTGTTAATGTTTGATTTTTTTATGACAATTAAGAAAGCATATCAAAGTTTAGATTTTCACATGATTCTCAATTCATTTGAATATTTTGTTCGAAAATATTCTAATTGGAATATGATTATTAGTTATTGGAAACATCATAAAGAAATAGGAGGAAAATAAAATACATTGAAAGACAAAGAATGATCCTGTAAGGAATGAATAGTCATTAGAAAATAAAATTTGTGGATGAAAGAGCAATGTAAAATCGATATTTGATTCGATTAACAGATGAATATTGTAAACAACTAAATCCGTTGGTTATTTGAAAAACATAATGATTTTTTTTTGATTCTAGGAGAACATATCATGTTACATACATTGAATTATCTTCAAAATAGTTATACAACAATAATAGCTATTCCTTTTATTAAGTTTGGAACATATCAAGTATGATCGACATCAATAATAAATGATTATCATCGTTTTTATTCAATTATAAAAAATTTAAATATATGTATGATTTTTTAAAGCATTTTTATTGTTTTAGCTAATTATGATACAGTAAATGATGATAATGATACATTAAAAATTATTCCGTATCTTAAACAGTTTGTTGATCTAGATAAAATAATTCAGATAAAATTTCTAAAAATGAATCATATATCTCGATGGGTAGATGTTCAACTTATTCTACAGTAAGTTTTTTTGTTAATATTTGCATAGAAAGACCTGTGTTCTATTACT